CTTTTAGCAATTCAAGTTTTGTAATCATATTGTTAAAACATTGTTTTAAGTAAAATAAAATCATTTCAAAAATATCTTCAAAAGGTTTATTTGAGTTTTGAAGATAGATATTTAAAACTGAAGAGAAAATTTGTTTGATTACCTTTTGTGTTCTTTGTGCACTTTCTAGTTACTATAGTTATATTTCCATGGAGATTATATTTTTAAATTACTGTAACTAGGTTTTATATATATATATATATATTGTATATTGAACTATTTATATAACTTTTTGTAACCGAATACTGTCATAATACTAAAGAGTTTTTTAGAAATATTGGTTTGAAGTCAACATGACGTTGCCCTTGCTCCACTGGATGTTACATTTTGAATATCATTCATTTTGACTTCTTGTCTTTAGTATGTGTTAGTGCTGATATTGAATATTTACTAAATAAAAACTGTTTTAATGAAGTCAAATAGCCCAACTTATGCCAAAGGAAGGAATCATATTCGTAAGAACAAATAATAGATTACTGAAATATTTAAAAATTAATAAATTTACTAAAAACATAAAATCTTTGTTTTCTGTTAGTCCTCTAGGAAATATATGTGCACTTATTGAAGATCAGATTCAATTTATATAAATATTTTGGTGCAATATTTACACTGGTCCAGCATACAAAAAACGTACACTTATTTAATGTTATTAGGCATAACAAAAGGAAGACATTTTTTTAAAAAGATGGAATTTCATCATATATGAAATCGAATTTTGATACTTAGCTGCTTTTTTTTTTAAAAGGAAAATATATATTTGTGCTTTGTTTTCGCATAATATTCATTGAACTTTCGGGAAAAATTCATTTATTTTGCTTCCAAAACAGTTTAAAAATGCATTTTATAAAGTTTTAAAAGGTACAGAAAATATTCGAAAATTAACTACCCCTTCTTTTATCAATTATTTTAATATTAACGACAGTATTCGCATACTTTTAAAATATCTCATAAACATTAAAATATTTTGGACCCACAACTACTTCGATGCTAAAAACCAGCATTATATTCTCTGTAAACAGGCATTCACACAGAACCTTAATGGAAGACCAAAAGAGTATTATATAACATTCGTTGACTAGGCACAATTGATGAAAAAATTTGATTTTAACTATGAAATAGATGTATGAATTTAACTATTTAATCTGCACTTAAAATTTTACTTCTGGTTACGTTTGACTAATCATTGTAATTATTGATAATAATTTATATATTATTGGAGTTTATCTAATTGACAATTACTAACAAAAATATTTTGTAACAGATAATGTAAATACCTGTCTAGTTTTACGATTTCTCCATCTTCAATGTTTGAAAGAATCTTGGTCAGAGGTTCATCAGTATAGCCCTTAGGAAGGAAAAACAAATTCACCAATTTGAAACAAGAACTTGTTTTAATTTTGAAAAAAATATTTAGCCTTTTGCGTATGACTGGTACAATAAGTGTACCAGAATGGCTTCATTGTTCTAAGTACTTAAACAAAAAGTTTTTATTTTATTTATTTCCAATGGCAGATTATAGACTGTAACAGCATACATAAACTCTAAAAATAAGAACAGAAACAAAAGATGCTCTTATTTTTAGAGCTTATGTATGCTGTTACTGTCTATAATCTGCCATTGGAAATAAAATAAAAAAATTTTAAAAAAACTTTTTGTTTAAATGTTTAGAACAATGAAGCCATTCTGGTTAAACAAAAAGTTAAATTAACCCTTTGCTTGCGATGTTCCATATTGTACCATCACATGTGGTCCACATGTTGTACCAGCCGTAAATAAAAGGTAAATACATATTAATAGATAAAGTACTTCAAAGTTTTTCTCTCATTCCATGTTGCTTCAAGGGTTTTGATTCACTTTGATCAAAATAAAACTTCATTTCCCAAACGAAATTGAAACGCTTGAGTAATAAAAAATCGTATATTTAAAATAAGATCTCTCAGGAATTATTCGACCTATTTCGCACGTATTTTGTAATTTTCCATGCAAAATTATGTTCTGTAAAGTTCTCTAAAATTATGTTCCTTAAAATTGCGCAAATTATGTTCTTTAAAATTACGCAAAAAATTTTATACCCGATTATTAAATGTTTTATACTTTCATTACATTAAATTCGATACATAATTATTAAAAATTACTTCTTACATGGATATATCTTTGGATAAGCGAATTTTATAAGAGTGTGCAATTTTTTTTAATTGGTCAGAAAATTCTAGAAACATGATGAAATAAGCAAAAAGTAAAGTTAACATTAAGAGGTTCAAACTTTAAACCGCTCCTTTGACCAAACTGTTGGAACCATATTTCTCAGATTGCGACTATCCCACATATTAATGATTTCATAAATCTAAATACGTCTTAAAAAAGGCCTGCTTATTCAGAGAAAGCATGCTTTTGTGTCTAATTACGTAACTTTAAGCATCATCTGTACTAATTAATAAGTATACTTGAAGTTACCCCTACGAACCATTTACATTAAGTTCTAGAACCTGAAGATCTGATCATGAAATCAAAGATCATTAAGAGTTGACCATTTCTTTACTTTGTGCACTACATCTAGTGAATTTTCAAAGAGCATTTTTTAGTTGTTGCTTTAGGAATTTAAAATTATTTAAAATAAACAGACAGTAACACATTTAATTTTAAACTAACTAAAACATATGCAAACTGTTAATGAAGTTCTTCAGAAACGCAAATGAAGGTTTTAATAGCAATCATTGTTATTCAAACATTTTCAGTTTTCATAAACGTTTCTCAAGCCTTCCTGAAGCATTTTTGTACACAACAAATGCTACAAAGTCAATATAACTTTGTTAATTGTCTGAGATTACTTGCAATACGTTGGAGAAGGTACCAAGTGAATATTTTTGTTCATTGAATTTAATCAGTCATATAACTATCAAAAAGAAACTTATACGGACCTACAGACTATTCTGCGTTTTAATTTTCTATGTTGCAATATTTGTTGGTAACGTCTAGAAACAAGGTACCTAACCTAAATATTTTTGTTCTATTACATCCATACATGAATATAATAAAAAAAATTTATGTATTATAAAACGTTTGAAACATTTAAACTACTCTAAAATCGCGTCTATGACTTGAAAAAGTGCAAAAGGATGTTCTTAGAAAGTTCTTGCTTTGTATGAAAGTACCTTTTTTTAGCGAAATAATATGCAATGCCTATAACTGCTGTGATTTGCATCAGCTCTACAAGATTGTTAGGTTGTGGTTTGTTCGTCAAGAAATGGAATATATACTTAATATGAAAAAACTCCGCAGTTTTGGAAAAATGGTAAGCGCTTGTGAACTAATATTTTTAAAAAAAACTAAACTCAGCTACACTACAGCCCATGGAGGACCAAGGCTTAATGTGCCCATCTCAGTTTTCTTGGCAGATGTTCCGATTGGGTAGTCAATCAAGCACGGAACCTCCTAGTGTTCAGTACCCAGGAAAGCTTGCATGACTATGATGCACGCTTGGTACAATTTTTTCAATTATTTAAGACATTTGTTTGGCTTTAAGTAAAGATAACTCTTTTCACCGAGATACTTCAAAATCAAAACTTTGCTACAGATTAGCATTTTTATGCTGCATCTTTTTTTATTTTTCTTCTCAAAAGCACTTCAAAGAACATCCATAATTTAAAAACTCAGGGCACAACTTTCATAATACGAAGAAAGTCATTGTACAAGTTCATACCCCACCCCAGCCAAGAGATCTTGCCAAATCATTCCCAGTTCCTAAAGGCAGCACGGCTATTGGTGGTGACGTGGTAACCTTCAGATCATCTAAGACAGAAAGTATCCAACCAACTGTTCCATCTCCTCCACAAGCCAAGATTCTAAGATTTGGAACACGTTTATACAGATCCAATCTGAAAAATTGAATTAAAAATTAATAAACATTTTAACAGTGAATGTTTAAGCCATTCATTTATGAGGATTCCACAAGAGTGGCAACTGAATCAGAAAGCAAGGGTGTCGTTCTCACCCAAGAATGCAAGACAATAGCAAAACAACTGCACCAAACAGTTCTTTACAGTTCCATAACAGTTTCGTTAAGACAGCATTGTCCCAATGTAGTCTTGCAGTACCAACGTAGCCCAATTCGATAATACTATTAATTTAATGACTTGAAATTGAGGCTAAGCATTATTTTAGTTGTTAAAAAATATAATTGCCTAAAAAATTTGAATTTTTAGAAACATGACCTATGATGATTTTGAATGTCTTTAAAAGCAAAAACAATATTATTGATATTTGAAACAGGAAATTCAATTATTGCTTACGTTAAAAAATATTTTCGGTAACTAAAACTAATAGTGTTAATTATATCAAACAGATAAAGCTTTAATATTTTTTTTTCTTTTCAACTGCTTGGGTAGAATAAAAATGTAATATAATGCTAAACTTTAATTTTTCTCAATAGTCTTTAAAACAAACTTTTAAATCGTTAAAAAAAAGTTATTTATTTCAAATACTTACTTAAGTTTAATTTTTCCTTTGAAGGGGTGTAAAATATTGATATTTTATGTTTTTCGGCATAATAACTCTCTTAAAATATTTGAAAAACAAAAATATGAACCAAAAAGAAAGTTTAAGGAAAAAAGTAATAAAGTATCATCCTTCGTTATAAGTTTTAGCTGTTGCTAAGGAAACCGTGTGAAATATGTTCTCTTTTACAGATACGTTTAATGGCAATCAATCTATCATTAAAATTGTGTCACATTTGCTACACCACCGTTCATCTATATTTCACGCAAACTATGTCGAAGAAATTAAAGTTGAATTTATTTTCTATGCATGTATGTACATTAATCATGAATTTTAATTCTATTTATCATTAATCCTTAATGCCTAAATAACTTTTTGGGTACGTTCTAAAATGAGTTGGCAAAATAATATTAAAATCCTGTCTGAAAGCCTCCTATTTTATAGAAAAAGCTGTACTACTCGAAAAATTTAAGGAAAAAATGCAAAACTGTTTTTCCAATGCATTTATAGATTTACATGCACTGTAAAAAATATTTTACAATCCATGCATCTGATTTCATTTATAATCATTACTATTCTTGTACTTAAATGTAGATACAATCTAAGTAAATTCTGGTTCTCTGTATCATTAATTAATACATTTTCAATAAATGCTTGTAAATGTCTCAAAATCAATAAACAATTAAATAAAAAAAATCCTGTCTGAAATTTTTTTGTTTCACAAATAAAGATAAACAATTGATGAATTTTATGATTTTATTACTGATTTCATTGATTATATAAAATCAATTGCTAACTATTCATCTCCTTTTCCTAGCTTACTTGAAACAATTTTGCAAAAATATGTTTAAAAAAACACATAAATTACGTAAAGCTTATAAAATGAGTAACATATTTCAAAAGTAAGTAAAATTTTATAAAAAAAAATATTTAAAACAACATGGAACATTTAAAATAGAAAATAGTTTTTTTAGAATTATTTTTCAGTTTATTGCCGTAATTACCCGCCGAATTAGTCACATTTGGTGTAAGAATTACACTGAGAAAATTCCAGGATCAAATAACGATAGCACTCAGTGTTACGTCAAGCTCTCAGGTATCATAATTTTGACCTAGCTGCACTTGTATGTCATTTTGATTTATGTTGCTAAGTTGAATTTCAAAAAATTCTATGGCTGGCAACAGCATTTTTATTTTTTAAGTTGTTTATTTTTATTTCTTTTATAATTCCTTTTTTTTAGCGAAATGCTTTTTTAACCTAACAAAATTCTTTGCCGACTGTTCTCTCTATATATGAAGAAAATAAAGTAAATATTTAAGTGTTGTGAAAAGAATCTTATTTAGTTGTACAAAGTACTTCACTCAGGGTGCCAGTACATTATACTGGAGCAAGATACGGAACAAAACATACCGTAATTTTTACAGTAATAAATAGAGTAAAATCACTGAATCCCTCCAATTAAATAAGTATTACTGTAAAGATTACGGTATATTTCTTGGTGGAAATAATTTTACGGATAATAAACTTAAAATAGTACCGGTACTTTATACAGTTATTTGATCAAGAATTTTTTACAGTGTATAAGAAAAAAATAGGACAATCAAAAGCCAACTATTCCGCTTTCCAATAGCGTAAGTGCGAATAACAGAAAACACAAAGCCTAATTTAAACAAAAATAGAGTTATAAAAAATCTACAACGATTCCAAGAAAAGGTTTAAAATTCTCACCCCATTCCTGGACCACCTTCTGTCAAATCGAATACTTGTCGAGGATTCAGAAGCCACTGAAATGTTCGAAGAAGTTTTGAGCCTTGATTACCTCCACTTTTAGGATTGATAAAAACAAGTAGAGGTTTAGATGTGGATGATGGTATGGGTTTGATGGCAAATACGTGCTTCGAATTTTCTGTTTCCTGCAAAGATGAATTAATTAAAAAAACAAAAAAACAATTGGGCTCTTACAACTCGAGAAGAATACGATCACGGATACACAGACGCGTGATTTATGACCTCAGCGCCAACTGATCTCTTATAAACATGATGGTATGCTAAAATCGAGCTAAGTTTCTCAACATACGTTTGAATGTTAGCTAATGTGAAGTTAATTCAATACAATACCGCATCGATTATTGAATTGGTAAACATATAATTCCTTCTTCATCTATGAATTTTACTTAAGTTAAATTTATTATTAACTGTAACCGTAATATATTTTTATTGTGAAAAAATATAGAATGTGTCACTTAAGAGAACTGATACTTGACGGACTTGGCCTACTCCAAACAGAATAGAAAGAACAGTTGCTAATTTCAACAAATGCCACATTCCCACAACCAATCAGGATCAAGATATCACTATATCACTTGCAGGTATTCCATTGTGGCAGTCAACTGTTACTACGGAATATTTTTGATCTTTCATTTCTAATTATTTTTAAATTTTATTCATGATTGAGATTAAAAAAAATAACAAACTTGAAGGATCTCTTTTTTATTATGCTCAAACGCTGATAAATGTATAGCTAATTTAATGCAAAAGGCCAGTTGCTGTTTTGATCCTTTAACATCGCATAGGTGATAGAATTCTTGAAGAAAAAAACAGCTTCGCGTCTTGTCATAGCGTGACGAGGTATTTGGATTCCCAGCCAAAATTCCTCGAGTTGATGTCCATGAAAATTGAAGTGTAATCACTTCATGGAAAAAAAGCCTAATTTACAAAAAAATAAAATAAAAATGAAAAATAATCTAAATCCATATTTGAAATTTTTTCTGCGTTATTCGAAATTAAAAGTAATTATAAGAATGTATTATAATTGGTAAAAACAAGGCGAAATTAAGGTGAAAAATTTATTATTCCCAACAAAATATTCTTTAATTTTCTTAAATGCAAAGAATGTTTAAATTTGAATAATTTTATTCCTCATTATTTAATTCTTAATTATTAAATTTGTCTGAAAATCATATTTTATTTTTTATAACAGATTTAGTATGAGTAAAACATTAATTTTAGTGTCTTTAGCCTGTCGATTGAAGGCCCTTTTTTGATTGAATGCTCGAAAGCGTTAAATGTTTTTTCCCACCTGAAAAGACATAAAAATATTTCTACCGAATTTCAGGAAAATAAGGCAAACTATTTTAAATTTATAAATTTTGAATAATTTGTTTTATTTTGTGCTTGCGTAAGAAAAAATAACGATTGATTAATGTTACAAAAGGAACATTTGAATAAAGCTCCAGATTTTCGATAAAGGTTTAGATCAACATCCAGCTAGATCAAAATCTGTCTCTGTTAAAGGAATAATGTAGTCGACTCTGAAAAATGCTTCTATTAGTTAAATGCATTACTCTTAGGAGATTCACTATTTTTCGTAACAGGACGTAATAGGACGCGTAATTTAGAACACATTTTCTTCTGCAAAATTTTAGTCCCATAATTATTTTTCTCTTTGCTTTTTAACTCACTGCTTTTTCTCCAATTAGGTTATGTGGTGCTTCTAGCCCGCAAACATATTAAGTTCCAGAAAACCTTAGAGACTTAGACTCAAAAGTTGTCTCAAGTGCAGATGCACCCACTCAACCAATTCTGCTTTCCTAGGTTTGTAATCCGTTTCAAGTACCCGGGCAACTTGAACAATCTACAGGAGCTATGCAAATTAGTTTAAATATTTAAGGAACAACGATCTCGCGTTTCTCCTTTACACAAATATCACTTCTTTTCTACTCATCTAGAAACGTTTACGTTATGCTTAAGCTTAACTCAGTTACTTAAATACCAGCTATGCATGTTTGGATTATTTAATGCTTTTAGGTATATGTAATTTACTCATTGTAATTAACTTTCTTGAGTCCTCATGATTTTCAGAAGTATAATCGCATTATTGCCCAGTTTCATACAGGCATCATAGAGAAATTTAGATGTCTCAAATGAAGCCTATAACTATATTTTACAAGCTAAGTAGCTTCATAAGGTATTCAATAAATATTTTTTTCTAAAATTACGCAGTTAAAAATGTCTTTTTACTCAATGTTTTTTAGATTTATTTCTTTTCCTCGATTCACGAATTACTGGAATGTAACAAAATGCATATAACGTTAAAGTAAGTATTTATTTGAAATTTTTCAACTTAGTATGGCTATTACTACCTAGTATGGCTAACTACCTGGCTATTACAAAATCGCATCTTCACTCTTCAAGATGTAGGGTGAGGTTCGATTCTACGTTGCAATGGATGGATGTTTTTAGGTGCATAAAGCATCCATGCATATGGGTGAAGATGGAAATAGGGACCGGACGTCTCTTGCTAAAGTCTGGGACCTTTGGTTGATATTAATGGTAAGCTCAAGCAGTAAGCTCAAAACTGACGTTTATCGCCCTAATTTGGATAAAAGTCTTTTTCGTTCGTTGTGGTAGTTTCAGCCCTATCTCCTTCAAGAATGGTAACCCCATCTGCGATTTACATCATGAGTTTGTTTATTTTATACTGGGTTGAAACTAATAAACTGTTTTATCCGGTGCCCAGGCCTGAAGCTCATAGAGACTCTATGGGGCAATTTGCATCGTTAAATTAAAAATTGCAACAAACGTCTAACTGTGTGAACTTACATGTCTCTCCAAGATGGCTAATCAAAAATACCTCTAACTATCATATAATGAATTGTGAAAAGCATTAGGTTGATGTTTTAATTGTCTCTTGTGTCCCTTGACTTGTTGACAAGCTAGTTTGCATTAATAATGTGTAAAATTACAGAATTAGTCACTTCGAAAACTTATAAAATTTTAATAATTATGTGTTGAGTAATGCTAATCAGCGGATTTTTTTAAATCCAAGTTTAAAGAGAAATTAAATGATTGATACAGATTTAAGTTGCGTACAATTTTGCATGAAGCATATCCAATTTAAATAACTGATAGTGGATCTATTTTCCAGGTAGATTTAAGTTGAAAATCGTACCTGAAATCCTTTTTCCACTTGAAGAACAAGGTCTATTATTTATAGGTCAAGATCTATTAGGTAGATCTTCCTAATTGAAATGGCTTTGTATCGTTAAAGCTAAAATATATAGCCGTAAATTTATAGTTGCAGTTCAACTTTGCTAATAAATTATATTAATTAAAAATAAAACCTCGTGTTAATTTTAAAAAAATCTTGGCTTATATTTTTTTCTACTAATTAGGAATATAATACAATAGGATGGACTTACTTTCTCTGGTAACTTTACAATCCACGTTGGGGGAACAATTAAGTTGGCATGATCTCCTAAATTGCAGTTTTCACTACTCATTTTCTTCATGTTAAAACATGATTCTTTATTGTGGCAAACTTCCTTGCACCATGAGCAACTCATTGCCACGGTTTCCTATAAATACAGGTGAATTTGATTGATGGTTTAAAAGGGTGCATTTAGGAAATGTCAAAAAATTTATATGGGAAGAGAATATTTTTTAATCCTCTTGCTTCACAAAAAATCCAATTAAATCTGTAATTTTTTTGAGAAAAATAATAATTTTATAATGTATCTAAAAAAACATCATTGACTCAGAGAAAGTATGAAAATTCGGAATCATCTTGGGCCTAAATTTTTTTTTAAATAATCTTGACTGAGAAAAAATATCCAGGACTTATTCGAAACATTGTATTTATAGTTGGTGCAATAGATTTTTTAACAATTTGAACTTTACTACAAGCACTGACACACAAATGACTTAGAAAAAAGGTAGCAAACTTGAAGCATAGAGCTCAAAAACACCTGTACAGAAACACAGCATATTTTTCTAAATCAACTTGTCAAGATATTTGCTACATGTCCCATTGGTTACATGTTAAAAAGATAACTACAACTTATTAAAGTTTCACTCGTAAATAAAGAGAGCATATATTAATGACAATCTTATAAAAAACGCTGGAGGAAATGAAAAAACAAATTTTTCCCCAAAAATTGAATGAGGCATTTAAGTTGTTATAATTTTAAAAACTTTAGCAAAAAGAGTTATTGTTGTTTCTATTGCCACTTTCCAATGATAGTAAGTCTTATTGAGAAACCAAGCGAATTTAAGGCAGAGGGTGCGTTTCATTTTTTTTTCAGTGGTGTCAGATAGCCAATAACCTTGTAGCTTATGTTAATATACTATATATCTATGTATATATGCAGATTATGTTAATATACTATATACTACATATGTTATATACTATATATGTTAATATGTTATATAATTTATATCTAGGTCTTGTGTTGTAGACTACAATAAAGTCCATTTAACTACTTAACTATTATTTAACTCTTAATTTATGTATAAAAAAAGACACACAAAAGGCAATAGAAAGCGCGTCATCTTATCAATCATACAAATCATAATTATTTCATAAAAATATTAAACATAATTTAAATGCTTATCATTCAAATTGAATTTAAATAATTTAATGTTGGATTACTTACATTAAGCAGGCTGCAAACTTTTCCTCCAAATGTCTGAAATAGTCACAATCAAACAATGAATTTTTAATAATTGTGAAATGAAGATCAAGTGTAAAATTAAGATCAATGAACAGAAATTTTAGTTTTATAAATTGTTAATTTTTTATTCTTAATAGCAACATTAAAAGAGTTTTAAAAAATTCGCTTATGTAAAACTTGCAATTTATTGTATTGTTTATTTTACTTTTTTAAATTTTTCTGCTGTACAAAATATGTTTTAGTTTTATAAGCATTTCAATTTGATAGCAACTTATTTTTAAATTCGCATTAATTAATAGCACAGTTTCATTTCATTACAAAATTATCTACAAAACAATCTCAATTAATAAAAGAAATGATTATCTTTTTTATATATTAATATTTAGTCACCAGTTATTTTACTGTTGTGGTACTACATCATTTTTTACTAATTATGACTCAATGTTGTTTTTCTATTCATCTGATTTCGATGCATTACATATTAAACCATCATAAATGTACTCTAATAACATATTAGGATATTTACTTTAATCAATAGTCTCCATAGTCACCAGTTATTTTACTTTTAGTGGTATACCACATAATTTTTTACTAATTATGACTCAATGTTTTTTTAATTCATCTGATTTCGATGCATTATATATTAAACAATCATAAAAATACTACCTAATAACATATTAGAATATTTACTTTATTCACCAGTCACCATTTAGTCACCAGTTAGTTTACTGTTGTGGTATTGCATCATTTTTTACTAATTATGACTCAATGTTTTCTTTCTATTCACCTGATTTCGATGCATTACAAATTAAACCATCATAAATATACTACCTAATAACATATAAGAATATTTAATTTATTCACCAGTCACCATAGTCAAAATTTAGTCACCAGATAGTTCACTGTTGAGATACTGCATAATTTTTTACTAATTATGACTCAATTTTTTTTCCTATTCATCTGATTTCGATGCATTATATCCTAAACCGTTTTAAATATATTACCTAATAACATAGTAGGATATCTAATTTTTTTTCCCTAATTACGGCATTTTACTACATCTGTTCATCTGCATCAACTTAGTTTGATAAACTAAGTGTTTTGCAAAATTAAAGAAAAAGTAAGACAAGATTTATGCTTAAAATATGCATAGTATTTACTATTTAAATGCTGTATATTCTTATACTTGTTAGATAGCAAAGGTAAAATAAATTGGCAAATGCTTAGAAAAACATTTTGGTAATAATTAGCTTTAAAAGTGGCCTCACATAATGGTTAACAATATTTAATAGGAATAGAAATTAAAAATAGCTAAGTAACTAAATTAAATCTGAAGAGAAAATTTTATTTCACCTCTTACAAAGTTTGTCATAATTTATAAAAATGATCCTGAAAAATACAATGAACTGGATTCTCTCTTTATAAGGAATAAATGAATAATAATGAATTAAAAAAACAGCTATTAGTTAAACGCGGAAAAAAATTTTATGCATGAAAATTTATAAATATATTTAACTTACCATGATCAAATTTATAAAAGTAAAAAATATATCCACTAGTATGATTGAAGATTGCTTTACCCGGTGAAGTGAAACCCTTTTATGTCTCTTAAAAACATCCCAACTGTATTTTCATTCGCTTTGATTACAGTCAACGTTCGTGATCAGAAATAAAAAAAGAAAAGTTATATCCTCTTACCGTTACTATGCAACCAGTCAACAGAGGAAAAGAACTTTTTACGAACAACCAGTTAAAAAAAATGTCAATAACTCTACACAAATGTTTGTACAAGATTCTTTGGATTTAGTTCTTGTTACACTTAGTATAAAGTAGATTTTCTTCTCATAAATTATAACAAAGTTTAATTTATACAATGTGAACTTGTATAGAAGTTTCCAGAAAAAATTAAATTTGGGAGAAAGGGTACAGATAGAGTAAGTATCACGCAATAAAGTTTCCCTCTATTTGGAACGTGTTCTAAAAGTTTTAGGTACTTATATTATTTTTTTTTAATTTTCTTTTTCCTAAATAATAAAACAACGCTCAAACCTATGCAGCCTCAAAGCTTCTTTTATGTTGTTTAAAAACATTTTTATGCCTTTAAAACGTAACTCCTGTATTAACGTTTTGTTAATAATTTTGCCGAATCTTCTTTGAAAAAAATCGATATTGTTTAAAATATAAATGTAGAATTATGATAGTGAAATATTCATTCATTATTCAGAACGAAATTTGATTGATTGATTGATTCATTCATTCATTATTCAAAGCAAAATTAATTATTCATTCATTCATTCGAAATAAAATTTAATTGACTGATTGATTGATTCATTCATTCATTATTCAAAACGAAACTGATTATATAGTGCTAAGCTCCTTTTATGTTGTTGAAAAACATTTTTACACCTTTAAAGTATGACTCATGTATTAAAGTTTTGTTAATAATTTTGCCGAATCTTTGAAAAAAATCGACATTGTTTAAAACATAAAGGAAGAATTATGATAGAGAAATATTCATTCATTATTGAAAACAAAATTTGATTCATTCATTATTCAAAACAAAATTGATTATTCATTCATTCATTATTCAAAGCAAAATTGATTATTCATTCATTCGCAATGAAATTTTATTTACTTATTTATTTATTCATTCATTATTCAAAACGAAACTGATTATCTAGTGCTAAGCTCCTTTTATGTTGTTGAAAAACATTTTTATGCCTTTAAAACGTAACTCATGTATTAACGTTTTGTTATTAATTTTGCCGAATTTCTCTTAAAAAAATCGATATTGTTAAAACATAAAAGAAGAATTATGATATTGAAATATTCATTCATTAATCAAAACGAAATTTGATTTAGATGTTTTTAGATAACTTTTGGACTTTGCTTATTTTTTAATTTCAATTTCTAATCATTATTTCAGTGTCTAATAAATATATAGTGTTATAAGATTTATCCTCCAGATAATTAGAAACGTTTTTGCAATGTTTCTGCATCACAGCAGAAATAAAAATCAACGCTTCACTTCATTTAATTGATGTTAACGTTTTTTGAGATTCAGGGAGGAAACAAAAATGTTACTGCCGTAATATATAAAAACTGCTGTTTAACGTATAGACATACAATGAATTTAGAAAAAAATTTAAACCTTACATATTTATTACCTTTCTGAAATCATTTTTGCTATGGTAAAGCTAGAGTTTATCATCTGTATCCGAATAATAGCGTTATTTATACGTTAACAAAACTATAACAAAACGTTGCTGCTATGGCAAAACATGTTTACTGGGATAAGAAGATATTTTTTTAAACTCAGTACTTAAGATTAGTCTATATTTAAAAGTGTTATAGTCAATGCTAATGTTGATTAATAAAGACACTTACTTTTAAAAACTCGACAGTTATAATAAATACCGATAAATAAAATAAATGAAGGTAATTAAACATTTAGTTATTTCAGAAAATTTGTTATAGTTTTTAAATTAATGACTATACTACTGCCTACCTAAATACGAGTTCTAAATTGACCTATGCAAACTAATCAGTTAATAATTACATTCGTTGTTACAAATAAATTGTATGCATCTTTACTTACTTTAGAGCATGTTCTACATCGACCTTTAAGAGTTCGTCTGGCAATCCAATGATGATTAATAGCTGTATTCTAAAGGAATATTACTTATTATCATTTAAGAAAATACAAGAGTATTAAGCATATAATACTATTTTACAATTTATTTTCTTAAATTATTTTTAAAGAAACGCATAATTGATTAGTCTAAAGAGTCTACCGAGAAGGAATAGTTCAAATAAAACCAATCCATTTTGCAAGTTATATTATTTATTGCTGAAAAAGTAATTATTAAGTTATTTATTACATATTTATCTATTAATATTCAAAATAATGTTAACTACGGAAGATTTATTAATCTTACTGGTACTTACAAGTTTATTTGAAAGCACGTGATTTCAAAGAGTGTAAGACATTATCTTGCAGGCAAAATATCGCATTAAAAATATTGTTTATACAAAACATCGAGTGTACAAAATATCATCTACAGGAGCCGTGGTGGCTCAGGGGATAGAGAGTTACTCTTAGTATAAAATAGATTTTCTCATAAATTATGATTTCTCATGCTATCATAAGATAACCCAGATTCAAATCCCAGAGATGGCTGGTTGATACGAATTTTGCACATGGTTCGCACCGACCGCAGCGCTGACCTAAAATATCCTCAGTAGTACACGGATCATGGGTTAAAGTCCCCTTGCCATCAGACTGACCGTGAAAGGTTTTCGTGGTATGTTTTCTTCTCAACATAATGCAAACGTGGGTTAATTTCATAAAAAATTATTTTTAAAATTTATATTAAAAATTAGTGGGTTAATTCCATTTCTCCCAAAACTTGATACATGAGTTTTCTTGTCTTCTTGGTTGAATATAAAATTACAAGGCTACGAGTCGTAAGCTCAGAATTGTATATAGACCAGTCTTAAAATAAAATATTATCTACGTTATTTCCAATAATATTTCACCTGAGATTGCCGTTATCCAATTTTTTGTAAGTACACAGTTTAAAATGTTCTCTAATATTTTAATATAAATAACTGATAATTACTTTAATATAATCAATTAAATTTGATAAATGTTAAATTACTTGATTATGAGTTAATTTACTTATAATAATTATATAAATTTTAAATGCTTTGATTTTATTAAATTAACATTAATAAACAATTACTCGAAGCATATTAGTTAATCATATGTAAACTTTAGTAGATAACGAATAACAATTGGTGTGAAAATTAATATTTCCCACATTAAAAGTATTCAAAAATTCATTCAAAATGTAGTAACGTTTAAAATTCTTTTACGTTTAAAGGGTGAGTGTGTTCATTATAGCATTTTTATTTTTTCATTGATTCATTGATTCGTTGGTTCGTGATTCATCGTTCGTTCGTTGATTCATTGATTCGTGCAATATTTTGCATTATCATTTTAAGTACTTATTTTGTGAGCAGCCACGAGATTATCTTGGCTATATTATGTCTTCGCGATAATTTTGTCCCCAAATAGATCTCAAAGCACTCAAAGTAAAGCAAGTGTCTACACCGGCAGGTTATTCATTTAAATGACAGATTACTTTTTGCTGAAGGCGGCTATTTGCAAGTGTAAAACATGAACATCTTTATTTATTCTTTCTTTTGTTGCTAGAACGATGTAAAATAAGCGGTGCTAAAAGAAAATGAGTTCAACAAATCTACTTTTGTTTGGCTTTATGTACTTGTTTGTCTGACATTGTAAAACTGTAAAAAAAAGTCAAATAAAGCTTACGTCACGGTAAGAGCCGATTTCAACATCTTGGAAAGTTGAACGGCAGCAAACTTTGATCTGAAATTTAAAAAAATGAACCACATTTATATAAATTGTTTTAAATAATATTGTGCAAAGATCTATTAAAAAATTTTAGTAATTCAACATTGTTAAATTTATTTCTTTTTTTTTTAATATATATATTATTAAATATTTAATGCCCTAAATTTTTTAATGCAAATGGGGGAGATTACGCACAACGGAATAGGAAATGAATAGGTACAATATGTTCGCAACGATCGTAGCTGTTTGTACAATAGCAGTATTACAGACTGTACATGACTGATCAAGCTGATTGTTATAATACACTGCAAAAAAATCAGATCAAATGGGAACGAATTACGGTAAAAAATACTTTAAAACGTTAAAGTTTTAGCGGAAAATGTTACATAACAAAAAATCTCATAGCTCGTGGTACAGTATTACCGTAAAATCACAGTCTAATTAAATTAATATTAAAGTAAAAATTACGGTATGGTATTTTATGATGAAAATGAATTTTACGGTAAAACTGATTTTATGGATGATGCACCTAAATTGTTAGTACTTAATACTGGAGTTTTTTACTGTAAAGCGTCAACGATAAAACATAGCTATCTTGTTTTGTTTCACTTATCCAAAGTCTGAATTTTAATTGCTCTTCCTTTTAATTTTTTATACACTGCCAGAAGCTTAAAATATTTTAAAACTAAGCGATTTCTTATAGGCTACGGACCTTGAGTGAGACACCACTGATTTGTTTTAGCTGTGGTCATGTTTAAATAAAAGTCCACGCTATCTGTCTGATCTAAATGGAAGATAATACTTAGCAGTAAAGCAGCATTGTTTCTATGTTAGGAAAAATGGGTGTATTGTTCCTCTGCTCTTAATAATATGGTCAATTACGTGGTTCGTTTATATGATTTATAAATTCTTATAACAGTTGCAAATATTTAATTCATATCCATGAGTTTAGCTTGGGAACATTTCCTTTTAAGCATAGTAAGTATTGCCGAATACTTACTAGTATAACAACAGAATATAAAACATACGGAAATGACTACAGATTATATAAATATACAAAGCCTTCCGATTGCATAGTTAAACAGAAAAACCTGTAGAATACAGAGGCATACGGATAAACCTATTGATTGCATAGACACTCTATAACAAAAAAATCGACGCACCAAGAAGCAATCATCCCATTGCTTTGAAATTTCGTATGCATGAATGTTTTGAACAGATCAGGCTGGAATGATGCCGACTGGGGACGTATAGTCCTTAGCGACGAATCCCGCTTCCAACTGTGTCCTGACGATCATCGAAGACGTGTTTGGAGACGCACAGGGCAGAGGG